TTTCCTTCCAGAAATTGTATAGATTTAGGATTTATATTTAGGTCTCTGATCTGTTTGAGTTAATTTTTCTACATGGCGTGAGATATGGACCATGTAGTTTAATTTTTTTAATTAAGTGGTACAGGCCCTTGCTACACAACCTGGACTTGTAGTGATCCTCCTGTCTTGCCTCCCCCATGCTGGGATTACAGGCATGTGCCACTATGCCTGGTTTTGGTGGCTGGCTCAGCCACGGGGGCGGTACAGCATGTTGTTCCAGGGATCAAACTGGGATCCTTGTGCTTGCCGGGCCAGCACTTAGACTGCTGAGCTAGCTCCCCAGCCTGACCATGTGGCTTAGAAGCCATTGGAACTGGTTTACTGGAGGAGTTTGAAAAGGTTTGGAGACGCCAACTAAAGAACTTGGAACACAGTAAGTAGAGCCTGATGGGTGATTCTATGAGGGCTCAGAAGACCACGATGCCAACAAGAATAGAGACAGCAAAGGCCAGGCTCAGGAGTTTTCAGCGAGGAACAAGAACTGCATTGGCAGTTAGACTAGAGGCGCTGCCAGAAAAGTCGTCTACATTTTGCCCGTATCCTGAAACTTCATAGGAGACTGAGAGCAAAGTTTTTCTGTATTCAAACATGTTCCCAACATGAAAAGTTGGGGCAAATCTGCCTCAAAGAACTTCCTAGGCCTGGTTTTTGAAATGTCAAGTTAGTGTGCCTCTCAAATGATGTGATTACAAAACCGCTCAGTTTTCTCCTAGAATTACCTTAACTGGTTTCAGTGAGTTCTGATTTTCTATTTCTTCTTCCATTTGGGGCAAAATCTCTGGGGTAATGGACAATACACAGTGAGTTTCATTTCAATTTCTATAACCCTAAACTTCATGGAATTGGTGGAAGAGTGGAGATGGACTCAAAGAAGCTCAGGAATGAAGGTGCGCAGCCAGGACCACCAGCAAGAGGCTCAGGAATGAAGGTGCACAGCCAGGATCACCAGCAAGGGCAGGCCACAGCGCCACCTGCTCAGCGTGTCAGTACACTGACTGCGAAGCCACAGGCACTCGCCGCATCCCCCACCCCTGTTCACCTCCGGTCTTCCTCAAGATCCAGACCCAGAGCATTGAACTGGTACAGCCTGGGCACACAGCCACACGCCTCAGGATCAGGAATGGAGGGACAAGGACTTCTGCCTGCGTGGGGCTCTGTGATAAAAGGCAGGCTGCTTCTTCCTCATAAGAAAGATATTTAAATGATTTACAGCTATGAAAACAATTGTTCTGGAGAAGGTGGTAGGTTTCAGGAGAGCAGTGTTTGCACCTTTCTTAATTGGTTTGTTCTGGGAGAGGCTGGTCTCAGTCCTAGTTCTATGGCTATGAGAACAGGTTTGCAGCTTTTTTTTCCTTCTCTAGTCAGGCTACCCACAGTGAATCCCCGGCTTTTCTTCCTTAGCATCAACTGCGTGTATGAGGCATGGACCGCACTTATCTGGCTAGGAGTGCTTCTGTCGTGTGGGACAACGGCAGTCCTCTTCAGGGTACAGCCGGGGCTGCCCACGTCCTTGTCCTGCAGCTACTCACCTCTTCAATCTGCTGAAATCACAAAATTAAAATGCATGAGAAATTATAGAAAATAGGTGTGCATTCCAACGAAGCCAAACTAAAGTGGATGCTCACAAAAGGCCCTCTGTGCCACTTCCAACCCTCTGCCTCCTCCAACCTCTCAGAGATGAGCCCCAACCCAGTTTCATGCTTCCAGTCTTCAGCCTTTTATTTTTTCTTGCCTTGCCTTTCTACCTAGAATTTTTGGAGCAACTATGGGCAGCAGTTGTGATAGCAGGCCATTTACGTATGATTCCCAATATTAAAAGGAAAGACTGATGTTTATCATTAATCATGAAGTCTGCTTCAGGGTTTATGTAGATGCTTTGTGACATTGAGTGGTCCATTATAATTGGTTCCCTAAAAGGTTTTCTTGTAAGTAGGTGTTAGTATTTGTCATTTTTTCAAAATGTATTTAGTGCAGGGTCTACAGGGTCTCACTACACAGGTGAACTTGTAGTGATCCTCCTGTTTTCAGCCTCCCAAGCACTAGGATTACAGGCATGTACCACCACACGAGTCTTGTCATGTGTTTTTTAATGTACCTATTAAGATATTCATTTTTATTTTGTTTTGAAAGTTCTTCATTGGAATCCCCTCAGGACTAACATGGACATACAATACTTTAAAAAAATGTTTTTCCAAGTTTTTCTACTCTTGGTACCCTCTACCATATTTTGTGGATTACAAAGTTTGGAAGGAAACTTAGAGGTCATCCAGCACCCGGTTCACAAATCTTCTTTTTATGGATTCCAGAGGTTGTCAACTTCAACTTCTCTTTGCCTGAATATTTGCAGGTATTAAACGTTTCCTACATCTGTTCATTCCCTTCCAGGAGAACTCTTCCAGCGCCAGAAAGTCATTTCTTATGCTGAGCTGAGATATGCCTGAGTCAGATTCAGGTCTAGAGCCAAGTTTGCACATGGCACACAGAGAACAAGCGAAGCCTGACACAGAAGTGGTGTGCTTGGTGGAAGCACAAAGCCTTCACAGTTGGGCAGGCAGACTTAATTTCTGGGTTAGCCACAGACAACATGAGTTCAGGTTCCACAGAAAAATGTTCCTCCCATCCTAGTAGGTGCCTCCTTTGCAACAACACTGGGCAATCCTGCCATCTAGAGGTAGGCTCTACTTCTCCACCTCCTTGAACTCTGGGCTAGTCTTGGGACTTGCTCTGGCCACCAGACCTGGAGAAAGCAATGCTGGAAAGTTCTGGAGTTAGGATTCAGAAGTCTTTGGTGTTTTCCTTTGGTCCCCTTGGGATGTCTCCTGTGGCTGTCAAGTAAGAAATCAGCATGGCCTACTCTAAGTGAGAAGACGCCTCACCATCTGTGGCAGACATCCAGTGTCACCTTGAGATTCCCAAGCCCAGAGGACCCTCCAACGCCCATGCAGCTACAAAATCAATCCTGGCAAAAACCTCTGAAGTACAAAGCTGCCTGATAACCCGCAAAGCCAAAGGACGTTATAAATCACTGTCTGCTTAAACCACTGAAGCACAGCAAAGAAAGTCACTTCATCAGACTCCCTGTGCTGCTTGCTCTTCGTGCCTTGTCAAGTGGGAAGAAATGCTTCTCTCTTTTTGGCATGATTACTCTAGAGTTTAATCAATGTGGAGTATATGAAATGTATAGGTAGTTGGCACAGTGATGGGACAGTGGCAGTGCTGGACAGCACAGTGATGGGACTGCTGTTACATAGACTCTTAGGAGTTGACACCCTCTTCCATCATTAGTTTTTACATTTCTACAGCAAGCCCTTTATCCTTTGGCTTTGTCTTGCTTGGCAAGCTTTCTTGGTCATTTGTAATTCAGGTGTCCTAATTATTGTCCCACGACATTGCCCCCATTTCGTTGATACCCTCTGCTCATTTTTACAGCAGGACAGCTGCCCTTAGTGTCAATATTTTCTGAACAATGGCGTACCCGCCAAAGCCATGCTGTGCTTCATTCACCCGGCTTAGCCTACCTCTTTTCTTCAGTGCAGGCATCATTAGTCTCACACCCAGCATGTTGTGGATTACACCTGCTGGCTCTGACCCGGGCTGCTGCAATCCAGGCTCTTCTCCTTGGAACCCACGCAAGTGCTTGCCTGGAACTTGGGGGCACCGTTTAATATTTAACCCAGAAGAATTTCTTTTTGTTAGTCTTAGTCCAGCATGCCAGCTGGCCAAGGCAGCCTTACTCTGATATCTTTGTGTTTTCCCACTGGATGCATCTAGATGATTACTTCTGTTTTCTCCCAGTCACTGAAAAATAGGACAGAGGCTGGGGAGGAAACTCAAGGCATTCACTACATGACTCTTCCAAGCCCAGCACAAGCCAGTGCACACTTAAGACCTGTGACACGTACGGCAGGTCACAGCCTACATGCGGCATTGACACGCAGTAGTCCTTAATCCAGGGCTAAATGCACCTGCTAATAAATAAGCACTTAAGGCTTATCCACGCGAGGGATATATGGCCGGACACATCTAATAATCCTCTCCTGAAAAAATTCTTCAGTGAGTAGCAATACTACACTTTGTCTTTCCTTTTCATTTCTAGGATTTTAGTGCATATAAAATCACAGAGCCGTGGAGTTACAATTACACTGAGAATCTTAAGTTTGCAGTCATGGAAAGACAGTAAAACAGTTTCTTTGGGGAGGTGAAAGAGAAAAAATTTGAGTTTTATCCAAAAAGAATTTCAGCCAGTCCTGACTGCCGACGTAATCCAAGGTATTTGCCTCTGCTCACGTTTCTGTGAGGCCACTGAGCGCATGCTTGCTGTTTTCCCAAGCAGGTACAACTGTAATCTTAATCCCACCGTGTCACACCTTGAACACTTGCCTTAAGAGGGGGATGGGGATGAAAATAAGTATTAGCTATACATTGTGGTGCAGGATGTATACATCCCAGCACTCTGGACGAGAGGAGGATCACAAATTCAAGTCCATCCTGGGCAATTTAGTGACTTACGAGACCCTGCCCCAAAATGAAAGATACAAAAGGCGGCGGTGGACGTGGAGAGCTGGCTGGGGATGTAACTGTATGAAGACCGTAGGTTCATTCTCCAGGGAAGAAGATGGAAAAAAGGAAGGCGGAAGTGAGGAAAGGAGGTAGAAAAAAGGTACAAAGGCTTGGTGGGCCTCGTGCTCCCTCACCCTAGCTGCTGTGCACCTTGGGTCTAGAAGGCAAGAAGACTGCTTTCTAGAGAGGCTCAGGCGAGGGCAGCGAATCCGCGCAGCCAGCGCAGCGGCCGAGCCGGGCTAGGCGAGCTGCACACGCGCCGGGCTGCCCGGGCCGCGCTCCCGCCCCCGCGCGAGGTCCCCGCCTCTCCGCCCGCCCACTGCGGGACTCCGCCCCTTCCAGACCCCTCTCGCGCCGCTGCTGAGCCCGCCCCAGCTCTGGCGCCTGCGCGCTGGTGCCCGCCTGCCCGGAAGCGCCGCCGCCGCAGTGCCACGTCTTCCCGCGCGCCCTCCCGGTCTGTGCACAGCCGAGCACTATGGGCTGCGCTCCCCGCCCCGCCGCAGCGCTGCTCCTGCTCCTGCTGCTGCGCGCCGAGCGGCTGCGGGGCGCTGAGCTCACCTTCGAGCTGCCGGACAGCGCGCGGCAGTGCTTCCACGAGGAGGTGGAGCAGGGCGTGCGGCTGTCGCTCGACTACCAGGTGCGGGCCGGTGACCCGGGGTGTTCCTGAGGCCGGGGAGGCTGTGGGTTCCGACCCGTTCCCCGCATCGTGTACCTCGCCCTCCACCCCAAGGTGCAGCGGACACTCGGGGAGCCACTATCTGTCCGGCCTCCTGGAGATGTCAGGGCCCAGCTGCTGGTCAGGTCCTGGGGACCTTGTGGGCGGAGCCGCGGTCTCAAGGAGGACCAGGGTCGCAGGGTAGAGGGGCGACTGCGGGCCGTGGTCGGTCTTTGGGGATGAGTGGGTATGGGCAGGAGGGATGGGGCAGCCAGTCCCCCAAGAGAGGCCAGTGCTCGCGGACTTAAGGTGTGAGTGTCACTGGTCTGTCCACTTCTCGTGTATGTGTCAGTGTTAACACAGGCAACCCAATGTAATAACAGAAAGGTGGTCGTTTTGTGCCCGAGAGCCTGAGATGTCACTTGGTCCCTGTCTGGACCAAGTCCCCAGTCAGGAGATATCCACATGGGCTTGAACATGCAGCCACAGGACACTCACTGCCTCACACGGAGTTTGCTGACAGCACGCAGTAACTTGACTGGACAGTTGTAGTTTGGGAATAGGGGGGCACAACACTGGGTTGCACACCAGTCCTGAGAGTGGAGGTGATGTGGTCCCTGATTCACAGCAGGGGGGATTTTGGGGGGTGGCAGGTGGAGCACAAGCTGTGGCTTGGCTGCTGCACCTTTGCCATGTGGCCTCTGGAGGTCTTAGTGTTCTTTGTATGAAGGAGAGTTGGAACTAATGATAACCGAGGTCTCGCTCACCCCTGCCACACTGGCTGATTCCATGCAGCTTCCACCTGTATGTCCCTGTGTCTTGCATTCAGCTACTGGACCATTCAGAAAGCAGAGAGTGACCCTGGCCTGGGCTTCTGTCCCTGACCAGAGAGGAGAGCGGCAGGTGCGATGTGTGCTGCACCTGCCTGGCCTGGTAGCTCAGAGCCAGAGGCTACCTCTGCACCATCGTCCTTGGGGTGTGTGCTGCCTGAGGTGGTCCAGTAGCTGGCGGACACTTGCTGTGTGTCAGACTCAGCTGAGCACCTTCGATGCCATACCACACCCCACCTGCCCCACAGTCCAGTAAGGTCCACGGGCCTATGGTGTCTATTTGCCTGCCCCCCAAGTCACTCGTCCAGGGCCACACAGTTAACATGGCAAAGCCTGGGGGCTGTCCCCTCAACCTGTCTTCCTCCTGATTTCAGAGCCTTGTTCCCTGACTTAGGCAGAGCACTCATGCAGGGTATGTTTGTTCCTTGCAGACCAGTGTGGTGATTGGCATTTGAGAGATGAAGCCAGTTACCCTCAGGCCACATTGCAGCTCTGCTGCTCTGTGAGTACCCTTAGGAATCTTAGTTTTGTCTCTGGTAGAGCTGTTCCTGCAGAGCAAAAAATTTGGGGTAAGGCAGGCATGGATTCCAGTCTCAGCCCTGCCACTTGGCAGCAGTAGTCTGAAGCTCAGTGACACGAGTCTGTAGTGTCTGATTGTGGGGTGTGATCAGTGTGAGGTACATGTTGGCTCTCCCTCATTGACAGTTCACTGTATGTGTCAGGTCATCACCGGAGGCCACTATGATGTCGACTGCTACGTGGAGGACCCGCTGGGCAACGTCATCTACAGGGAAACCAAAAAGCAGTATGACAGCTTCACCTACCGCACCGAGGTCAAGGGTGTTTACCAGTTTTGCTTCAGCAATGAGTTCTCCACCTTCTCCCACAAGACTGTGTATTTTGACTTCCAGGTGGGCGATGAGCCCCCCATTCTCCCAGACATGGGGAACAAAGTCACAGCTCTCACCCAGGTGAGCCCCAGGCCCTAGTGACAGGGCCACAAGTCTGGCCCTAAGGGTTTCTGCTCTCCATCTAACCTCCCTGCTGTTTGTTAGCTGGGCCCTGTGGAGGGCGCTGGGACTCAGCCACCCAGTCCTGCTGCCTGCCCTGGGCCTGTTAGGACTTGACCCTGTCTCCTCCTTTGTCCTGCCTTCCGACTTTTAATCAACCCTTCCTACTCCCTCCCTGCAGGCTGATTCTTCCCATGGGCAGGGTTCTGGGATCTCCCTTGCATTCTCCCTCTGAGAAAGGCGTGGAGCTGAAAGCAGCTCCCCAAGTGTTTGTTGAGTGACAGTCAGGGTCCTGAGGAACCTGTAAGACGGGATCAGCTGTCCCTAGTTGTGCTTATTCCAGAGGCCAGGCCAGGGCATGTGGAGCCGCTGAAGACCAGGTCAGATCTGGCTGCCCTCCTGGGTGGCAGTGATGTGACCAGGCATGACTCACAGAGCCCTTGGATTGCCAGATCTGCCCTCTTTCCGGGAGGCTGCCCTGGCCAGCAGAGATGTGCCCTTCTGACTCTCCACTGGCTGCTGGAGAGGCCGAGTCACCCAGGTGGCTGGTGGTGTGACTGGCTGACTTCATGTATCCAACTGAGGGCAGGGTTTGCATGCAGTGTCCTTTGCAACCACCAAAACAGCCTCTTGGAAGGCGTCACAACTCTGAGCTGAAGATGCCCTTGTGAACGACACGAGGTGGGCTTGTCAGAGAAGGGCATGATGAGTTAGGTCCTGGAGAATTCTCTCCTGAGGGTCTGACTATTGTGGGGGGGGGTGGCTCAGGCTTCCCCCTCGTGCTTCTTGAAGCCCTTCCCTCTGCCTGCCCAGCCTCAGCAGGGGCATCTCTGCCGCTTCTGCAGCTCTTCGGGCTCTGCCTAGGGCCAGGCCCACCAGTGCAGGTGTTAACACAACCTCCTGCTGGGCCCAAAGTGTGGCCAGTTCCCGGCGGCACTGTGGCCAGGGTGGAACTTGCTGGACTAGGGATCTGGAGGGTCTAAGCAGTGTTTGTGGGAGAGCCAGATAGGCAAAATGAGCTGTCCAGTGGAGCAGAGATGACGGTGGGGACCTTTGGTTTTGGCCAGCTGGGTGTGGGCCCCTTTTTACTCAGTGGCTGCTATCTCTGTCACCCTAGAAGTAGGCTGGGGTCTGCCTAACACTTTTATAGTGACAAGGGCAAAGGCTTCTTTCTGACTTGAGCTGCCAGGCCCTCAGCAGCTAAGGAAATAGGCTTCATTGTCAGAGCATCTGAGACTCCTGGATGCGAGCTCGGGGCCTGGATGGGACCTGGGGCCTGAGGTCTCAGGGTGGCAGTGTTGGGAAGTCGTGGCCTGGCACTGCTGCATCCAGCCCAGGCTCCTGGGTCTAAGGAGCTCCAGTCTGCCACGTCCAGTGTTCACTTGCATCTCCTACTGTAGCAGAAAGAAACTGGTGAATGGGTCTCTGGCCTGGAAACCCGAGTGAGTGCTTTCCTGGTATGTATAGACACCTCTGTGTGGGTCCATGGGAATAAAATGGTGTGTATGTATATGCATATGTGCATGTACACACTTACATGCACTGTATGTGCACACACAGCCGAGATACACACGCATGCACACACACACGGCTGGCCACCCTTCCCACTAATTGCAGGAGGCCTCCTTTATTGCTGAGTCCCCTGACCTCAGCACTCCAGATCCACTCCTCCTTGACATGGTGACCAGAAGTGGGGGCCTCATCTCTGGCAGGACTGTGGTGAGCGAGTGATTTCCAGGCCTGTGCTGCTGGTGCTCCGGAGGCCCAACAGCCCATCAGGTTGCAGCTTGGGCTTTCTGTGCTGGCACCCCTCTGCCCGGTAGGCTTGGCCCCCTTCCCTGGGGCTCCTGCAGCTCTGCACTGCCGTCTGGTTAGTGTTTCCCGCTTTCATTCCAGTTGGCCACCTTTTCCTTTTAGTTGTGCATGACTGTCTCGCTGAGCCTGGGTTCCCAGAACCTCCCTAGAAGTGCCTGGAGGAGGAGTAGGCATTTAATGATGTTTGGATGAGTTAGTGGACCTGGGCCTGGTTTGAGATTCCTGGACTCATTCTGCTGTGGCCCCAGCCCCACCCGCTGTCCTCCTCTCCAGGACCTCCAGGTGGCAGACGTGTGGCATTAGCTACCTTGCTGTTCGCCTGTGTCCAGGTCATAGGTTAGTCCTGGAGGCTCTAACGAGCCCTGTCCTGGCTTACCTTGGACACAGGTTTCTGTAGCCTGGCCCCACACGGTGGCCTCTTCCCAGTTTCCTCTCATCTCAGGCCCTGCTCCACCTCTGCGATAGCAGTGTGCCTTGACAGCATTGGTGGGCATGGAGGGAGCAAGCTCACCGGCGCCAGCAGGCAGATGTGTGCCAGGTGGCCCTGCCTGGGAGTCAGCGTTGGCACCAGCCCTGTGTCAGGGGCCTTCTGGCTCATCTGCTCCTTTCTCAGTGTCAGATGTCTGTGGGTTCCACCTTCTCGGCAAAGGACTGAGGACACTGCCCTAAGAGCGGGTCATATGTGGTATGTGCTGGTGCTCTGATACACGGGAAGCTACTGAGAAGCAGGGTACACGTACCCTTGGGACTCGCATTGGAGCGTGATGGGCTCCTTTGCACTGCTGAAGCCCCTCTCCTCCTCAGTTCAGATCATGTCCATTTCCTATCTAGGTGACCCTGACCCTCCTCCCTGGCCACAGGGCAGCAAAGGGGCAGCCGCCAGGACAGCAGACACCCCCACTTTCCAGAGCAGGAGCTGGGGCACTGCTTTTCCCAGGTGCTGCAGCTCTTGCAGGGCCAGACAAGAGGGCACTAGTGGCTCGAGGAAGGGCAGCCCTGTCTCATGACTGTGGCTTCCGCAGCTGCTTATGCAGTGCACTGCACACAATTTGCCTTTGAGGCTGGATCTGAGGTACTGAGGATGCAGCCTAGCATCATGGCTGGCGACAGTTGTCTGTGTAGCAGGCAGGCTCTGAGGATGCCGAGCTGTGTGTCCTCGTCTGCTACGGACTGACTTCGGGCCACACCCACTCACCTCTCACAGCTCAGGGTCCCACAGGCCAGGAGAGGTGTAGATCAGCATGGGCCCTGGGCAGCAGCCGCTTCCTGCCCACAGGGCAGCTTTTGGTCCAGTTTGGTGCCACCACACAGCTGGTATCCTCATTGGGCTGCCATCTGTTGTGTTCTCAGCCCCTCTGGCACCTGGCTGGCCCTGCAGGTGGTCACTTCCGCGGCCAGCTGGAGAAAACTGCTTTGTGAACGTGGGTGAGCAGAGGCCTTGGGGTTCTTGGTCATGGAGTGGGGCTCTCCAGGTACTGGTCAGGGTGTTTTCCAAGTTCCTCCTTTCACACAGTATTTTAGCAGTGCAAAGATTTGAGTAGTAGGGTGTGAACTTGGGTGTAGGTGTGCACACCTGTGTCTTTGTGTGTTTTGAGATTGTCCTTTCCAGCCTGTGTTGATACCTAAAACTGTTAGCATCAGTTACACAACAGGAATGCGAGTCAGTCCAAATGGTTGAGGTCTGGTCTGCCCCACTGAAGGAGCCCTGTACCTCAGCGGTGTATGTTCTGGCCTCAGTTTCTCCACGAGTGCATGGGGTGCAGTCATCCAGCATTGCTTGATGATGAGGGTGATTACCTGCATGTCTGCGTCTCACAAGGATTAAACGAGAGGGCAGCACTCACATGCACAGGCTCAGGATGCGGTGAGTCAGGTCCTGACTCCAGTAGCTCCCGACTATGCCACCAGCCAGTGGCTGCCATCCTGGGTCTCGGGTGGGCCTTCTCCTCCAAGCAACAGGACTGGGTAGACCCCTCGCACAGACACTATGTTGGCACTAGGGGCTCCCCCAATGTCAGCGACAGATGGGCTGTTGGCTGCTGTCCACTGTGTCTCAGGTCAGCACTGTGACTGCCTACGTCTTCTGCCTAGATGGAGTCTGCTTGTGTGACCATCCATGAGGCTCTGAAGACAGTGATCGACTCTCAGACACATTACCGGCTCCGGGAGGCACAGGACCGAGCCCGAGCCGAAGACCTCAATAGCCGAGTCTCCTACTGGTCCATTGGTGAGACGGTCGCCCTGTTCGTGGTGAGCTTCAGCCAAGTGCTGCTGCTGAAAAGCTTCTTCACAGAGAAACGGCCTACTCATCGGGCTCTCCACTCCTAGCCAAGGCCTCGGGATGGAGCAGTGCTCCTGGGTGCTGGCTCTGCACACCTCAGTCCTTGCACCCCACAGAACCCAGGGATCCCAAGGCATGCGAGTGTGTTCCGTGCACAGCGTGGACTGGAAGAGCCTTTGCAGTTAGGCAGGGGCTGATGTCATGGGAAGGTGGTGGGCACACCCCCAGGGCCCATGCTGGGCCTCCAGCAAACTTAGTGCTTGGCTTCTGTTCTGTCATGCGTGGGTCCTGTGGCGTGGACCTCCTCCCTGTGGGGAACAGTGGGGCTCTCCACTCCAGCCTTTCCTTCCCTAAAACTGTGCCTGAGGAAAGCGGGCTCTGAAGTGACTGTTCAGTCTGCCTACCACAGGCACAGCAGTGTCAGCTGCATGGGCAGCACCCAAGTGAGGACTGTGTGCCGTGGCTGGCTCTGTGTCTCCCAGGAGCTGGGGCTAGGCTAATAAAGACTCCTATGAGCACCTGCAGGTGTGTGGCTTCTTCCAGGTCCAGCGGGGCTCAGCCCCACGGGGAGTGTGGGGTGTACAGACGCGGAGACAGCAGGTCTCTCCTCCCAGGCAGACAGGAACAAGAAGGCCCTTGGCCTCCTGTCATTCTCCAGGCCATGCTGCAGGAACCACTGCCCTGCACCTCATGACCTGCTGGTCCTTGCCCCCGACCAGACAGCGTCCTCCCTGAGCCCTGTATGCAGCACCGTCTCCCAGTCCCATGAGTGCAAAAGGGACATGGGACAAGGACACCTTCCGAGAGACCTGACACAGGAGCTGTCTGTGAATGCTTAGTAATACATTGTAGGACAGGGGTGAAAGCAGGGCCGGTCCCCAGTATTATAAAAGTAATCAATTAAAAGCAAAAGGAGCAAAATGAGACTCTGTAAGCCTGATGCGCTTGCTTGGAAGATAAGCACTGCTCGTCTTCCATGTGTTTTCCTGGTATTTCTTTCCTGTCTCCCACTGTAAAGTTAAGTGCTGCGTAGATGTGGACGACTGTGTGTGCTCTGCCCAGGGCAGAATGGAGTGCTCGGAGTCCCGCTGTGCCCAGCCTGCTCCCGGGTCCTTACTCTTGAAGCCCCTCACCACCCGCTGTGCTCCCCTCCCAGGGACCCTCTGCCTGGAAATGGGGTCTCGGTTTCTGAGAAGGTCTAAGTCAAAGGAATCTCTCACTCCCGACTCACATTTTCATAGGAACAAGATTTGCCAATCTGAAAAAAAAAAAAAAAGAATTGCTGGTGACTTCCTGCTTTATTTATGTAACTTTAATCATTCATCCATAAAAACACAGACTGGAGGGGAATCCTTGTCCTAGTCTTTCAGTTAAGAGATGATATTTGTGTAAAACTCACTTCTGTGGGGGACCCAGGGCCTTCACCCGAGCAAGGCGCTGGGCTCTGAGCCTTCATCTGAATTTAAGAAGGAAAGAGACGGAAACTCGCAGGTGCGTATTTCTGGATTGCACGTGTCAAAGCATGTGGTTATTAGATGTAGGAATAGGACTTAAAAATTTTCAACCCTAAAATATAACAGAATTGGCTCCTTAACTTTCCATTCACGAGGAAAAACTAGAAGAGTCTGCACTTTCACGTGTCTTGGAGGATATTCAAGAAATTATGCTGCTTTGCTCTTGTTATGGTTTCTACCTACATGTGCCCCAAGCCTCCCGCAACCCTAGGTGCGGCTTTGAGGTGGGGACTGACTGTGGGTGGTGGATTCATCCGTGATGATTTTCAAGCGCTGTGCTGTCAGGAGGCGGGGCTTGGGCAGCAGGAGGCGGGGCTTGGGCCTGCGGCGGGGCTGCTGGAGGTGTGGCTGGGGAGGTGCTTCTCCTTCCTGCCACCACCCTTCTCTCTGCTTCCTGGCTGTTGTGCAATGAGCAGCTTTCTCGTGCCAGACTCTTCCACCCTGCTATGCAAACATAAAACGTCTACATTGTAAGCAAAAGTAAACCTGCTTTAAGCCCTGGGTGTCAGGCATTTTGTCCCCAGAACCTTGGGGAGACAGCTCTGAGCACCTTGGAGGAAGAGGACATTCTGTGTTGGCATTTGCATGGGCATACCAGACCGAAGCCCTTATGGGTTTGGACCAGTGCCTGCCACACGCTGAATGTGCCGTCTCGGAAGGGTGCTGAGCTGAGGGCCTTTGTTTTCTAGTGTGCAGGGGACACAGTGTCCCGCTGGAGCAGGGCCCAGGGATGCACCCCCCGGTTGGCACGGCCGGGCTTTGCCCTGTCCCCGGGGCACCGTGAAGGCCTGGATGCCACTGACAGAGGAAGCGTGGAGGCGCACCTGCGTGCTCAGGCAGTTGAGGGTCTAGCCGGTGAGAGGGGACCTCTGCCTCTCCTGGGATTCAGGGTTGTCGGGAAGAAGTGAAGTGCAAGTTTTAAAATGTGTGATGCAGTTTGGTTTGCTCCATGCCGCAGATTCCAAGCAACATCTGAGCTTCTCCAGGAAGTTCTCCCCAGGCCAGGAGTCCTTGCTGGCAGCTGCTAGGCAGCACCTTGCTGCTGGTGGCTCTGAGGTATGAAGGGTGTCGAGAAACAAGGCCTGGTAACGTCATGGTCAGATGCACTCCGCAGAGTGACAGCATACAGAGGGTTGCTTTCATTTTTAAGGATAATTTTCCAAACTGAAAGGATAAAATCAAAACTCATACCGGTATCAGATGAACACATAGTAAAAATTTTTATTTTACTCATCAGTGAGGGAGCCAGATGCCATAATGGCTCAAAAGAGAATCCAGGGAACAGACACACTGCCCCCGAGTAGTGAAATAGCTGTGAATAGCAGGCCAGGCTGGAATCAGCAACCTGGGAGACCTGTGCTGTGAGGAAGACAGAAATAGCTCAGGGCAGACTGCAATAGCATGGGTTGGAGAGGTGTCCAGAGATGCAGTGTTCTGTTTCATTTTTAAATTAAAACTCTTTTTCCACACATTCAAAAGGGCTGCCGAACCATGGGAGTGACACTGTTCCAGTTTAATTAGCAAGACCAGCTGTTCTGCTTGCTCTGGCTCTGTGAAGACTTATCCCCTGTCCCTAGGTGTGGGCTGGGAATGGTACTGACCTGTTGCTCAGCTTGGGGCTTTGCATCTTTTCACTTTCTGTAACTCCTCTCTACCTGCATAAATATTTCTACATTACAACCTCAGAAAGGAAGGAGGGAAGCAAGGAGGAAGGCAGAGCGTAGTTGTCACACTGCGTGCTACGGAGATACTCATGTGCTGCCCTCCCCCAGGCGTAGGTTGAAATCCCACCGCAGGGTGGAGGGGTCAAGAGGGGGCCTCGGGGAGGCAGAGGGGTCAAAGGGCTCGGGCTCAGGGTTCTTAAAAAGCAAGAAGAGTAAAGACAGAAGACGGGGCCATCTGTGAGCCAGGAAGTAGTAACCAGGCCCCACCCTGCAGTGCCTTCATCTTGGAGTGCCCACCTCCAGAGCTGTGGGAGATACATTTCTGTTGTTAGAAGTCACCCAGTGTGGAACTGTCCCAGCCCCCAAAATGAGACACTTAGGAGCAAGCATGAGCGCAGTAAAACTTCCAGTACTCAGCCACCAGGGGAGACAGCCTTGGGGATGGCCGGGTATCCTCACTGTGCACGTGGGACTTGGGTCCTGCTGGGAGTGCTAGCTCAGCCTATGTGGAACACCCAGTTTCTGCTCTGTGCACACGCCATGCCAGCTGTGAGGAACCATGGCCTGAACGTCTGAGCACATTGGTGAAGAGGCTAGGTGGACACTGCTGCCACTGCTTGCTGGGAGTGTCACCAGCACCTCTGCTTTGGTCCTTGTTGATGTCGGGGATCATGTGGCCTGCTCATTTGAGGACTAGTCTACCTTTTCACAGATAAGCTTTCAAAATTAAAATATGAAATGGTGGCTGAGGCATACGCTGGGCTAATGTAGCGGCACCCAAGCAGTGGCCCGGTCTTCTTCTAAGATGCTTCAGTTATGTGGAGGTCATATAAGAGCCGTAGAAGTTATACACGGTGTGACCAAAATATATAGCGGCTGTTTACCTCTGTTTAAAAAATTCTTACTACATTTGGGCATGTTGGCACATGTCTCTGCAGACATTCCCTGCAGCCTCAAACATACTTGCCCCACTGCTCTTGGTACCTGCAGAGGCAGTTCTGGGAGCCCTCTTTCGTGGGTACCCTACGAGCTCTGGTAGAGACGCCGTGAGAGCTGCTGCCGGGTGCCACCACAAGCCGGCTGGCAAGCGCACTATGGTGCGCTCTCTCCTACCTTACTCACCACACTTGGCACCACAAGGTTTCTGGCTCTTTCCCAAAGTCACAAATGACTAAGAAAAGTAAATGTTTCAGATCAATTGAGGACACTGCGGCAGCCTCTACAGTGCACCTAAAGGCGTGAGAGAGGGCTCCAGAGCCGCCTCAGAGAGACGAGCAGGGAGGTGAGGGTGTTGGGAGCCGGGAGGAGCTTAAGGCAATTGATGGCAGTAGGGCTCTCAGTGTAATACATTTCTAAAAAATTAAACACCATATTCTTGAGTCACCATAGTATAGTTACTGCTACACGGTGCACAAGCTGTTGGAGGCTGTCCTGCTGTTCAGAGAAATCAGGCTGCCTCTGCTCAGCTGTTGTGAAGGCCATCTGGTATGTTACTTTCTGTTGGAATTGGAGTCACCAGTAAAGAGTCCTCTTTCTTCTCCTCCTCCCCCTGCTCCTCCTCCTCCTCCTTCTTCTGTCCTCTTTTTTGGTAGCCATGTCCACTGCAGAAGACAGAGGCCAGAGGGGCCAGGGAGATGGCTCAGTGGTATAAGCACTTCCCTGGCAAGCGCAAGGGTCTGAGTTCAATTCCCAGTTCCGCCAAAAAAAAAAAAAAAAAAAATGAAGAAGAAGACAAGCCAGGTGGCCAGATGCTTAAATGGTTGGTCATGCTTTGCCGGCAGGGTCACTAAGCCACCTCGTAATCTGGATCCCTGTACAGTCTGCCTTCAAGAAGGGAATCTATTTGAGTTGTATTTTTAATTATGAAAGTAGAGTTGGGATTTTCAAGTCACCTGATAAGCATACACTAGAGGAGAAGACTCAGGCGTTTTGTTGTAACAAGAAGGTATTCTTTTACTTTATGAAGTTATGGTTCAAGCAGTTGCATTTTAAAAAAAATGGGATATTAACTGAATTGATGTATTCTCACCTGCACAAGGCAGCCACCCAATCCTCAGGCCAACAGCCTAGCAGTTCACCTGGGAAGCCACCCCCACGTGCCCACTCTCAGCCATTAGGGCTCTGCGTGGGCTCCTTAGGTGGTAGCCATGAGCTGTGTGCGAGCTGTGGGGGTGAGCCTGTGGTGTTTCCCATCCTCCTTAGGGTGGTGCCTGCCCAGGGGGCATCAGCCACTTCAGGGTGGAGAAACCACAGCTGTATTTGGGGAGCAGCCTGTGCCCCAGGAAGTGAACACCATGGCAGGGAAAGCTGCTCGGGGTACAGGGCCAAGGTCCCCCAACAGCTC